CCCCTTGGCCGGCTGCCGGCGGTTGTGGCTCTAGTGGCTCCAGGGGCGCGGACCCGCGGCTCACCAGCCCGCCCCTGACCTTGGTGCTGCGCCTGAAGCCCCTGGCGGTCTTGGCGGGGTGCAAAGAGGGGGTGGAGTTCGGGGTTGGTGCATGGAGAAGCGGTGTTTGACTTGAAACTGGGAGGATTTCAGGAGGAAGCGTCGAGAGTAGAGAGGAGTATTCCTGGCGACTCGCCTGACGGGCCAGGCCCTGCACGCCAAGCGCTGGGTGGGGGATCAGCGTGGCAATGGGTGCCTGTGCCCAGGAGGTCTGTGTCTGGGGTCAGCGCCCGTGTCTGAGAGCCCTTCAGCCCAGGGGGTAGGAGAAAACGGAGCCCGACGATGACATCAGCAGCAGCCTGGAGACAGCAGCGCTGGCGAGCGTGCTCGGTGTGCCAGGCCCCGCACAGCCCTTTGTGTGCATGATCTCACCTCTTCCTCCCAGCAGCCCACCGGGGTTGCCCTGCTGTTGCCCCCATCTGTAGAGAAGTCAGGCGGCGATAAGTTGACTGCCTGGCCTGGGCCGGCTCAGAGGGGCTGGGACTGGCACCCAGGCAGTCAAATCCTAGCTGCAGACGGGCAGTAAGTGGGGATGGCTCTGTGGTCAGGCAGGGGCTGGATGTTGAGGTGGGGTTGAGCTTACCTTCCCAGTTACCGTGTTTTTGTGGTCAGTCCAGCTGTCGCTGTCCCCACCCAGGACCTGGACTTCTCCTTTGTGTTTCTTCTGCTGGACCCCCCTCACACTTCCTGAAGCCTCTTTAGCGTCGTCTTCATCTCCAGCCCCTTCTCCTAGTAACCTCTTACGCAGCACACGCTCTTCCCTGTTACCGTCTATCCAAATGTGTGTCTTATGGCACCGTCCTATCCAAGTGTGTGTCTAACGGCACCGTCCATCGTGAGCATCTGTCTTTTTGTTTAGAGAGGGAGTTCTCGCTTGCCAGGACCACACAGTCCTCATCCCCCCGGGTGCAGGCTGGCTGTCAGTGTTGCCTTGACCCACAGAGGGAGCTGTCTGCGCTGAGGCACCTGTGAGGGGCATAGAGGAGGCGGTACCACCTGGGGCAGAGGGTGCCTGAGGGAAGCAAGGCTGGCTGAGGGCTGCCCTGGCGTGAGGGGCCTTGGGCTGGGGGTCGGAACAGGGGCTGCAGGAACAGCTGATGATGACCCTGATGATCCTAAGGGCAGTGTGGAGAGGGTTTCGTTTGGCAGAGACTGCAGGCAAAGGCCAGGTGGGAGGCTTGGTGGCCGTGGGGTGAGGAGTTGAAGGTGGGCACAGAGAAGAGGCAGAGTGGGCTCCACGACAAGCTGGCTGTGACGTGTGTGCTCACTGCTGGAGCCACATGCAGTGCAGGCACCTGTGTGTGTGTGTCCTTTGCGCAGGACAGGATAGAAGGCTGGAGCCCGAAGTGCCCCCCTCGCCCTTCCCCTAAGTGGCAGGGAGGAGTGATAAGTGGTCCACTGTAGTAGGGTTGGGGGACCGTGGAGCCCTGTGCCCACTACCTTCTGGGGTTGAGCTGGTCAGCTGCTTGCTGGCCTCGCAGCGCCTTTTTAAGGACTTGTTTATCCTTGAGGGGAACAAGCCTATAGACTGGGACTCTGGTCATGGACTGAGGATAGAACCAGGTACTAGGGCAGGTCGGGGGCGGAAGAGGCAGAGGAGCATGGCGTGGGGATCACTTATCTCTGCTTTGCCCCTTGAGAGCCTTGTGACTTGGAGCCAGTCGTTTGGCTCTCTGTGCCTCAGTTTCCTCATCTGGGGATGGAGTGAGTTATGCTAACCTCCCAGGCTGCCGTGAGGATGCAGTGAATGCACACGTGTGAAGCGGTGGCACACAGGAGGGCCCTGGAAATGATGAGTATGTTTAGTGACTGAGCAGCAGGTATGTGGATTCTCTAGGCACAGATACAACAGGCACTTCTAAGTGGGTAGAGGATCCCCCTCTGTTCTGTCAGGCTGAGTAAGACTTCAGGGCCAGATGCAGGGTCTCTTGGGTTGGGGATTAGGAAGGCAGATAGCTTGTCTTGCCTGGATCTGGACATGCTGTCTGGAGCTGCTGGGTGCAGGACCAGGGTGCTGAGGGTGCACGAGTCCTGCCTGAGGCAGCATCCCAGTTGCTAGTGGTTACCAGCTGGAAACCTCTCAGGAAAGGTGGGGAGGGGCCCTGAGAAGGTAAATGCCTGTGCTGGCCGTGACTCTTTCACCTCGGAGAGTGATGGTGGCCGGCGCCGGCCCATCTGCAGGCCCCTCACCTGGTGAGTCAGGAATCACCTTCTGTGCCCTGGGGCCAGCATCAGGACTAGACAGACCTCTGCCCGGCTCTTCGCCCAGAAGGGCCCTGATCACAGCATGGCCAGTGCTGAGGTGTCTTTGGGAGCAGGAGACACATTTGATCTGGCCCTGACCTGGCCAGCGGCCTTCCAGCTCCAGCAGCCAAGTGTGCATCTGCCTGGGAGGAGGGGCTGGACCCCTTGCATCTGAGAAAAAGACCTTTTACCCCATGGCCTCGCCTCATCCTGACTGTGATGAGCTGGCTGCATTCTTGAGCCCCATCTACTGTCCCCACCCACGTTCCTTCCCGCCCTCTGGAGCGGGCCGAGGCTGTTTGAGACGGCCTCAGCTGCCTCCCAGCCTCCACCCTGGGAGCCGGAAGGGGTCCAAGGCCTTGGGTCAGAGCTGCTCTGGTCTGATGGGCAGGGGAGGTTGGGGGGATGGCTGAGGAAGCTGCAGGGGCCCTGCACATGGCCTGCCGCTGCGGCTGAGGGAGGCATGTGCATGTTGGGGTTCGGTAGGTGGTGTCGCAGGAAGGTGCTGTCCTTCCTTCTTTTCTTCTCTTTTCCTATAGCTGGGTTCCCCCCAGAGCAGCAGAGCTGGCCAGGGCTGGTCTTCATGCACGGTGGGGAGTGTGGTGGGGGAGCAGGAGAGGCTGCCATCGTTCTTTGCCTCCCCACAGCACACGCTGGCCTGGGCCAGCCCTCCAGGCGTCAGAGCCTGGCACTGGTGATGGGGTGCTGCCAGCAGATGACAGAACGCGAGGTCTGTGTTCGCCTGCCTGCCCGCCCGCCTTTCAGGCCTGCAGTCTGTGTGGGGCTGGCTGTGGGGACATTGGTGCAGGAGGAAGCGCTTTTTGAGGAGCTTTCAGGACAGGAGCCCTAATGTCCTTGGGTGGCCCCCTCGGCCCCATGTTCAAAGGTGGAGGGGCAAGAAAACCTTGGTGCCCTGTGCCACACGGCACACTGTTTGGATTCGTCCTGTTGCTGAGGGGAGGAGCGGGGAGGACACCCTCCTTCCTCTGTGATCTGAGGTAAAGGCAGCACTCTGGTGGGCAAGGAGCTCAGCTGCTGGAGGTCACTCCTGTGGCAATAGGGCTCAGGTGGGGTGGGTGGGGACCCCGGAGAGACATGGCAAACCCCCCCATCCCCCTGGAGGCCAAGATGTGGCCTGGCCCCAGACAGCACAGAGCTGAGGTGCAGTCTGGGACCTCAGAACGGGGAGGAGGAGAGCTGCTCACAGCCCAGGGCTGCAGGGCCCTCCATGGCCTGCTTTTCCAGGGGCCAGCTGTGTTCTGTCATTCCCTGGGGCTCCGGAAGGTGCCCTGTACTTCTGATTGAGGAACCTGTTTGTTTGTGGGGTGTGAGTGCGTTGGGTGTGGGGAGGATGGTCGTGTAGCCGACTGTATGTGTTCTACAAGCCTTAATTAGTCTGTGGTCCGTCCCAGCCAAGCTAACAGGTGCACTAGCAGTCACTGGGGTGTGGTGGAGGTCGGTCCTAGGATCCCTGTAGGCCCCAGGCTGGGGCAGAGCGTCCCAGGGGAGGGGGTGCTCTGTGGGCTGAGACCTGAAGGCTGCTCTGAGACCTGAAGGGCCAGTCTGGGGCCGTCATGGCACAGAGGAGCTCAGGGAGAGATGCCTGCTTGGCCTGCTGGGCCAGCCCAAGGAGAGTGGCGCTCAGGGCTGGCTCTTTGGAGGGTAGAGCCCTGCAGAGGACTTAAGGCTGAGTGAGAGTTGGTGCTTCACAAGACAAATGGGGTGGAGAGGGTCAAGGTAGACAGTGACCTGCCACTTTGCCTGTCCTCCTGGGGAAGACTGCCTTTCCTGCCTGGCCTGGGGGAGGCTGCAGTGCAGGGACTGCTGTCCCTGTTCATAAACCCCTCTTCCTTCCTCCGCCTGCTGCCTCGTGGCAAGAACTGGGTGAGTCCTGGGTGCCAGCCAGGGCTGGGCCCAGATGGTGGTTTGGGGCCGAGCACAAGGAGGCCTTTGGGGGAGTGGGTGGAGTGGGGGAGGAGCCGCAGCTCAGGGCCTGTGCCTGAGTGAGCTGTGCTTGGGGGTGTGGAGGTAGGTGTGGCACCCGCAGACACCTGGGCCCCCATCAGTCTGCCGCCTGTCCTCTGCAGGGTGTCAGTGGTGGGAGGGGGAGGGGAGCAGGAAGCTGAGGTTTTGTGAGTCAGAATTGGCCCCTCACCGCCCCACCATCTCCCACTTAGCAGCAACCTGCCCACTGCCGACTTCCTTGGCTCTGCCTCTGTAACCCTGGAGGGCGGGTGGTCTCCCTGCCTGTGGGGGACCTGTGGAGTGTGTGCCATTGGGCTGCCAGGGTTGCTCATCTGTTCCCAGGAGGACCAGGCACGCTGGATGTGGGGCTGCAGCTTCCTGGGGGTCAGGGTGGGGGTACACGAGGCGATCTGTGTTGAGTAGGACCCCCCCTTGCCCGTCTGGCTCTGCTGCCTCCGCCAGGTGGGTGGCGGTGTTGAGGCCTGTCCAAGCGGAGGATGGGCACAGGCCCTGGGGACCTGTGGGTTGTGTGGAGGAAGCAGGGAGGCTTTCGTCTTTCTTGCTGCACCTGCTCCGTCCTCCACAAGCCCTGGGAGGCCTGTGGAGCCGTCCTGCAGCGGGAGCCACACCCTGAGTATCCCGCTGTGGTCCTGACCACCAGGCCTCCTGGTTTGGCTCTCTAGGGGTGAGCCACAGGCAGGCACCTTTAGCCCAGCAGTGTGGACTGGGCCTGGAAAGAGTGCCCTGGGTGTGGTTGTTGGGGGAACAGAGTAGAAGGAGAGGAGGGGTCTCTTGGGGAGATGTAGGCCTCTTGGCTTCCCCTGCCCTGAAAGCCTCCTCCTGGCCCAGGGGAGCTTAGGCTGTGCTCAGCACCCATCCTATGGCCTTTGTACAGGGAGATTTGGAGACAGGGAGCAGGCCTGGATGCGACCACCGTCCCACTCTCCTCTGAGAGCTGCTGGATCCCAGTGCTCAGGAGGCTGTCTGGGTATCCTTCAGTGGTCGTCCTGGACCAAGTCTCCATCCTTCCCGTCTAGCTGCTGCCCCTCTGGGTCCTGCTGGCTGTGGGGATGGTGTTCTAACAGGCAGCTGCCAAACTCCACCTTCTGGGACCTGTACTGGGGACCTGTCTCTGAGGCAGCTGGGACAGGGAAGAGTCTGGGGCTGTGGGCGCAGGGGATGTCCCCTAGCCTTGTGGGACTGAGGCTTCTTGAATCCCACACAGACAACAGATGTGAGTCCTCCACATGCCTGGCTGGGCCCAGGGCTGGTGGGTGACAGGGAGCTCTGGGGGATGCCCACTGTTGGGGGGCTGAGAGCCTAAGTGGGGGCCTGGCTGTGGTGGCAGATGCTGTGGGGGCTGTGGAACAGTCCTGAACTGTTGACCTTCGATGGAGGGCTGCTGTGCTGTGTGAAGCTGGGCTGGTCAGGCTGAAGGAGGTCTCTGGGATGGGATCGGGGAATGGGGATGGTAGTGGCAGGGGCTTCTCTACTCTCAGGTAGCCTTGGGGTCTGCAGCTGCCCAGCAGACTCTGCATACAGAACTATTTTTAGGGAACTGAGGCTGATCTGGTGCCAGATAAGGGCCTGGTGGGTGGGAATGTTTCCACACTGGGATCCTCAAGCCTCCTGGTGGATGGGGGCGGGTCGGGTGCTCTGACCACCTGTTCTTGTCCTCAGGGAGTGGGGAAGGCCAGGGCCAGATTCTGCAGCGCTTCCCGGAGAAGGACTGGGAAGACAACCCATTCCCCCAGGGCATCGAGCTGGTAAGTGGGGGGCGTGCTGAGACGGTGCTGGCAGGTGGGGGGGTGGCAGGTGGGGAGGGCAGGTGGGCACAGCCCTGCCCTTGTCCCTGACTGAGGGTCCTCTGCAGTGCCCGGCTCACCGCTGAGTAAGGGACCAGACAGCAGAGCTGCTGTTGGGGGGTGTGGCCGGCTTGGCCGGCAGACTGCTCGGTGCTCGTGTCACTGTGTCATGTTGTCACTCACTCATGATGGTGGGGACTGTTCCCATCTTCTGGTCCTTGCCCCAGGTGGGGAGGTCAGAGGCTGTTACTCCTTTCAATCGGAGACACTGACGCCCAGGAGGCCACGTGTCCCCAGGGTCTCCAAGCAAGGAGCTGCCTGTGTGTGTTGGAGCCTCCAGGCCTGGCAGTGCAGACGCTGGGGCAGGTGGGCTGGTTCTTGCCCCAGGTGTAGGGGGAGGAGCTGACTGCTGAGCCCTCCCTGCAGTTTTGCCAGCCTAGCGGGTGGCAGCTGTGTCCCGAGAGGAATCCACCGACCTTCTTTGTTGCTGTCCTCACTGACATCAACTCCGAGCGCCACTACTGCGCCTGCTTGACCTTCTGGGAGCCAGTGGAGCCTTCACAGGTCAGCTTGGGGCCTCTGGGTATGGCATGAACAAAGCTGCATCCTTGGGCCATGGCCAACTCCCCCTGCCCCCATCTCTCCCGACCCCTAGCAGGAAACGACGCGTGAGGAGGATGCCACAGAGAGGGAAGAAGAGGAGGATGAGGGAGGCCAGACCCACCTGTCTCCCACAGCGCCTGCCCCATCTGCCCAGCTGTTTGCACCGAAGACGCTGGTACTGGTGTCTCGACTTGACCACACGGAGGTGTTCAGGGTGAGGCGGGCAGCCGGGGTGGCGAGGCAGGACGAAGGTGCTTCCATCGGCTGTCCTGCCACTCCCCGCTCTGGTCATTGCAGAACAGCCTCGGCCTCATCTATGCCATCCACGTGGAGGGCCTGAATGTGTGCCTGGAAAACGTGATTGGGAACCTGCTGACGTGCACTGTGCCCCTGGCTGGGGGCTCACAGGTGGGTTTTGGGGGCAACTGGTGTCTGCACAGCCACAGGCCCTCCTGCTGGGGCCCTTGTAGGTATTTGGAGCCCAGCCAGAGCCACACACAGCTGGAGGCCTTGGATGCTCCCTCCTGTGTCCTTGTGTCACCGTTGCCCCCGACAGTCCTGGCCTGCTCACCTGGCCTTTGCACCTGTGCTTTGGGCCTGTGTCCTTCAGCCTCTCTGTTCGCTCCTTCGATGGTGTGTGCCTGTCTCTGGATGTTGGTGTCAGCTTGTTTGTCTGCTTCCTGCCCTGTGCCTGGGTGTGTTGGGGTGTCTAACCGTGTCTTTCTGCCCGTCTGTCCTGTGCAGCTGGACTCTGTTGAGGAAGGAGCGGTATGGATTCTTTGTTTCTTCTGCCCACCTAGGCCCCATCCCTACCCCCAGTCAAAAGCAGCCACTTCTGTCCTGAGTTTTCTCTGCAGCTGCTTGGGACAACAGAGGCAGGGCATGGCATTTCCCTCTTGCCATGTTGCCCATCCCAGCCAGTCCCACCTCGGGTCTGTCTGTCCACCAGGGTGTGCCTGGGGCCACGGTGCTCTGGGCTGACTTAGATCTGGTCAAGCTACTGAGTCCCGATCATTCTTTTTTTGCAGAGGACGATCTCTTTGGGGGCTGGTGACCGGCAGGTCATCCAAACTCCACTGGCTGACTCGCTGCCCGTCAGCCGCTGCAGCGTGGCCCTGCTTTTCCGCCAGCTGGGTGAGCCTGTCTGTCCCACCCCTGCATGGCTTCCCCTCGGGGACTGGTAGTCAGGGATGTGGGTTCTCGCTCTGCCTGGGTAGGGGCCCAGGGTCCTCTCCAAGCTTCTCCTCTTCTTTTAGGCATCACCAACGTGCTGTCTTTGTTCTGTGCCGCCCTGACGGAGCACAAGGTTCTCTTCCTGTCCCGGAGCTACCAGCGGCTCGCCGATGCCTGTAGGGGCCTCCTGGCACTGCTGTTTCCTCTCAGATACAGGTGACCCCGCCCGGCCCTCCCAGTCCCTCCTCCTGGTCCCTTTGTCCAGCCACATCCCCTGGCTCACTGCGTCCTTTGGGGCCTGCACAGCTTCACCTATGTGCCCATCCTGCCGGCTCAGCTGCTGGAGGTCCTCAGCACACCCACGCCCTTCATCATCGGGGTCAACGCGGCCTTCCAGGCAGAGACCCAGGAACTGGTAAGGGTTGTGCTTTGTGTCCACCTCGTCCTAAGCCTGCGGGTCCCTGACTGCCGGCTCCCTCGGCCCGCAGCTCGACGTGATCGTTGCTGATCTGGATGGAGGAACGGTGGCCATCCCCGAGTGTGTGCACATTCCACCCTTGCCAGAGCCGCTGCAGAGTCAGACACACAGTGTGCTGAGCATGGTGAGGGACACCACGGGCAAGTGGGAGCCTTGGGGGCCTTTGGGATGTGGCCGCCTGGCAGCACGGGGAGCCTAGAGCTGGGGCCAGCGTGCAGCTGCCTGCTCCGTTCTGTGCTGGCAGGTCCTGGACCCGGAACTGGAGTTGGCTGACCTCGCCTTCCCTCCACCCACGACGTCCACCTCCTCCCTGAAGATGCAGGTGGGTGTCATTGCTGCTCCTGCATGGGGACCCCGGGGCACTCAGGCTGCCCCGCTCAGGTCTGCTGCCACTGACACACAAGGCACCACCCCCAGGCTGGCCCCGGCTCCTGTAGCATAAGCAGGAAGGAGCCTGGGAGCAAAGCAGCTGCCAGCAGTTAGATGTGGTGGTCGTGAGTGGTGCAGGTGAGGCGGCAGGGGCCCAGCAAGGGGCTGGAACTCAGCCTCTGGTCACAGGAGCCCTTGAGGGTGCTGAGCAGGAGTGCCTCATCCAGACAGTTTCAGAGTTGCTAGTGGCCCTGTGTGCAGAATGGTGGGAGGGGCAGAAGGACGGGGCCACGGGCGAGGGACCGGTGGGCTGAGGGACGCTAGCGGTGGAAGAAGGACAGAGGTCTGGGAGGGGCAGAAGGACGGGAGCAAGGCAGTCTGGGGAGGCCCCATCCCAGCTTGGGGTGGGGGGGTGGAGGAGCCCCTGAGGGACCTGGCGTGGGGGTCGGCAGGGCTGGCTTTCGCCTGCAATCAGCTTTCCTCCCAGGACAAGGAGCTGCGAGCTGTCTTTCTGCGGCTCTTCGCTCAGCTGCTGCAGGGCTATCGCTGGTGCCTGCACGTCGTGCGCATCCACCCGGAGCCTGTCATCCGCTTCCATAAGGTGGGGCACCTGGTGGCTGGGGGTGGAGTGGGAGATAAGTGCCTGGTGGAGACCCCTGAGGGACCGACCTGCTTGTGTCCCCCAGGCAGCCTTCCTGGGCCAGCGTGGGCTGGTGGAGGATGACTTCCTGATGAAGGTGCTGGAGGGCATGGCCTTTGCTGGCTTCGTGTCAGAGCGTGGGGTCCCGTACCGCCCCACAGACCTGTTCGATGAGGTGCACCCCCACCCTGCCCGCCCAGCCCCCTGCCCTGGCTCTGCCTGACCATGGCTTACCTAACCTCCTGCCCACCCCGCTAGCTGGTGGCCCACGAGGTGGCACGGATGCGGGCAGATGAGAACCACCCCCAGCGTGTCCTGCGTCACGTCCAGGAACTGGCCGAGCAGCTCTACAAGAACGTACGAGGGTGGCAGGATGGGAGGGCATCGTACCACCTGGATCCCTCGGCCCCTGCTCCACACTTCCCGTCTCCCTACAGGAGAACCCGTACCCAGCCGTGGCGATGCACAAGGTACAGAGGCCCGGCGAGAGCAGCCACCTGCGACGGGTGCCCCGGCCCTTCCCCCGGCTGGATGAGGGCACTGTGCAGTGGATCGTGGACCAGGCTGCGGCCAAGATGCAGGGTGCACCCCCAGCTGTGAAGGCCGAGAGGAGGACCACTGTGCCCTCAGGGCCCCCCATGAGTGCGTAATGAGGAGGGACGGGGAGGCAGGTCCCGGGCGTGGCCCAGGACGGGCATGGGGTCAGGGGTCCGAGTGTGCGTGTTCTCTCCCCGCAGCTGCCATACTGGAGCGGTGCAGCGGGCTGCATGTCAACAGCGCCCGGCGTCTGGAGGTCGTGCGCAACTGCATCTCCTATGTGTTTGAGGGGAAAATGCTTGAGGCCAAGAAGGTGAGGGCTGTGCAGGCTCCAGCCGGGCCAGGGCAGCGGGTTTCAGAGGAGACCTAGGCCATGCTTCGCCCTCGTGGGTGCTGACCCTGCCCCGGGGCCTCCTCTGTCTAACAGACAGCTGGGGGTGGCTGGGCTGGCCTGAGGGCAGGTGGGCGCCGACTCTCCTCTCGACCGCAGGGAGTGGTGGGTCAGGCCTGCGTGGGAGGCCCAGCCAGAGAGATTTACTTCCATTTTTAGAAATCAGAAGGTTTCACTATTATGTTTCCTTTGCATCCTTCCCCTTAAATTGGGTCCTACACGACCTGCTCCTCGTACTTTATGGAAACAGAGCTTGCTCCCTGCTGTTTTACTCTCCGTGATGCTCACTTCACACCTCTGGGGTCTTTCCTCATGGCCAGTTGGAGTCTCTTGTTTTTCATTGGCTGTGTGGTGTCCCTTTGGGGCGGCCAGTTTTGTGATGAACGATGTAGCAATAGAATACAAACTCCAAGCCTTTCTGTGGCCGGGCCTGTGCCAGGCGAGTCACTGAGCCCTGGCCAGACAGGCAGCTCTGAGCCTGTGAGCCGGGGGGCCCAGGCCACAAGGCCTCCCTCTGGAGCGCACCTCCCTGCCGGCTCCCAGGTGCAGCGTCTGTGTCCTCGTGTCTGGCCTGGTGAACTTGTACTTGTGGAGCTGCTGGGCCCACCGGAGGGTTTAGTCTTTATTGGTCAGCAAAGCCCCAGAGTCTGGGACATCCCACCTGAAAGGCATTTGGGTCTCCTGGACTCCTGCTGCCCTCCCTGCCTGGGCCCCCAGTGGGTCTTTTCTGTGCCCTCAGCCCGTGTCTCCTTTCCCCACCGGCAGCTGCTCCCAGCTGTGTTGAGGGCCCTGAAGGGGCGAGCTGCCCGCCGCTGCCTTGCCCAGGAGCTGCACCTGCATGTGCAGCAGAACCGTGCGGTCCTGGACCACCAGCAGTTTGACTTTGTCGTCCGTATGATGAACTGCTGCCTGCAGGTGAGGCCAGGTCTCCCATCCTGCCAGGGGCGCATGAGCGGGAACAGGCGGGGAGACCCTGGTCTGCGGGTGAGAGTAGAGAGGGTGCAAGAGACTCCTGTGCCAGTGGGCAGGGGTCCTGGCTCTGCAGGGAACACAGTGGAGAGAACCGTTGTTGGGGGCAGGTGCTGGGGCCTGGGGTTTCCTGATGTTGAGCCTCTGAGGCAGCCCTGGGGAGCTGGAGCCACGGTGTCAGGTGCTGGTCCGCGGTGGCTACGGGGGTGGTGGGGGCATGGTGGGAGGTGAATGCTGCCTGGGAGGGGAGATGTCCTCACAGGCTCTCGCTTTGCCTGCAGGACTGCACTTCTCTGGATGAGCATGGCATCGCAGCTGCTCTGCTGCCTCTGGTCACAGCCTTCTGCCGGGTGAGTGGTGGCATGGCTGAGGTCTCCTTCCCAGCCCCTTCCTGGCTGCATCCCGCTGACCTTCTCCCCTGGCTTCTGCAGAAGCTGAGCCCGGGGGTGACGCAGTTCGCGTACAGCTGTGTGCAGGAGCATGTGGTGTGGAGCACGCCGCAGTTCTGGGAGGCCATGTTCTATGGGGATGTGCAGACTCACATCCGGGCCCTCTACCTGGAGCCCACCGAGGACCTGGCCCCCGCCCAGGTGCGCAGGGAGTCCTGGGGCTGGGGACTAGGGGCTGGGGGCAGTGCGGCCCCAGCTCATGCCTGTGGTGCTGTGGCAGGAGGTTGGGGAGGCACCTTCCCAGGAGGACGAGCGCTCTGCCCTGGATGTGGCTTCTGAGCAGCGGCGCCTGTGGCCAACCCTGAGCCGTGAGAAGCAGCAGGAGCTGGTGCAGAAGGAGGAGAGCACGGTGTTCAGCCAGGCCATCCACTATGCCAACCGCATGAGCTACCTTCTCCTGCCCCTGGACAGCAGCAAGAGTCGCCTACTTCGGGAGCGCGCTGGGCTGGGCGACCTGGAGAGCGCCAGCAACAGCTTGGTCACCAACAGGTGAGGCGGGGACTGGGGGTTGGGCCCAGTGGAGTGGGCGGGGCCCATGCCCACAGTCTCTTCCCTGGCCCAGCATGGCTGGCAGCGTGGCTGAGAGCTATGACACGGAGAGTGGCTTTGAGGATGCAGAGACCTGCGATGTGGCTGGGGCTGTGGTCCGCTTCATCAACCGCTTTGTGGACAAGGTCTGCACGGAGAGTGGGGTCACCAGCGACCACCTCAAGGGGCTGCATGTCATGGTGCCAGGTACGAGGGTCTTTGCTGGTGACACCCCCTTGGATGGGCGGGGCTGGACGCAGCGTGTGAGAACTACCTTCCCCCAGACATCGTCCAGATGCACATCGAGACCCTGGAGGCCGTGCAGCGGGAGAGCCGGAGGCTGCCGCCCATCCAGAAGGTTTGTGGGAGCCAGCAGGGCTGCGGGCGCCCAAGGCCGGGGCTGCATCCTGAGCTCCTGCTCTTGTTTTCGAGTAGCCCAAGCTGCTGCGGCCGCGCCTGCTGCCTGGTGAGGAGTGTGTGCTGGACGGCCTGCGCGTCTACCTGCTGCCGGATGGGCGTGAGGAGGGTGCGGGGGGCAGTGCCGGGGGACCAGCATTGCTCCCAGCTGAGGGCGCCGTCTTCCTCACCACGTACCGGGTCATCTTCACAGGGATGCCCACAGACCCCCTGGGTGAGCCTGCAGACCCTCTGGCCCTGTCGCCCCCTCCCGCCAGGTCTTTGGGATGAATGGACTTTCCCTGTTTCTCCCACCCTCTTCTTGGGGGGTTGGGGATCCCCATGGGAAATGGGCCTTTGTCTGCTCCTTCCCCACCCACTTGGGATCCCCCATAACTGTGGTACCCTGAGATTCTGGGACCCCCCCCCCCGCCTTATCTTCCTTGCTTCTGACTCTGCCTGGCCTGTCCTAAGTTGGGGAGCAGGTGGTGGTCCGTTCCTTCCCGGTGGCTGCGCTGACCAAGGAGAAGCGCATCAGCGTCCAGACCCCTGTGGACCAGCTCCTGCAGGACGGGCTGCAGCTGCGCTCCTGCACATTCCAGGTGGGGCGTGGTGCACGGGTGGGGCTCTCGTCCCCGCCCTGGTCTTTCTCGTGCGAACCGGTCTTTCTCGTATGAACCATTTTTAAGCCAGTTTCCACCAGTGGCCCTGCTGTTAGGCCTGCGTGTCTGGGGCCCTCACCATGGCTCTTGAGTTGACATCCACTGTTTGATATGCAGTCTTTGGGTCCTTGTCCTTTCCTTGGGGCGCCGACCCTCAAGTGCATGTCTTGGGTGTGCCTTGCAAGCCCGGGCCTTACCTCACAGCCACTGAGATTTCAAGTTTACACAAATGCTTGCCTTTTTGTGACACGGGCACAGGCCTTTGCCTGTGTCTTGCTTCTCTCTGTGTCATGGCTGCGGGGGGAAGGGGAGCCTGGCACCTGGCAGCGTCAGAGTTGGGGGAGGGGCTGGGGGCCACCCAGACTAAGGGTTGCTTTTTCTGACGCAGCTGCTGAAAATGGCCTTTGATGAGGAGGTGGGGTCTGACAGTGCCGAGCTTTTCCGCAAGCAGCTGCATAAGCTGCGGTACCCGCCGGACGTCAGGGCCACCTTCGCGTTCACCCTGGGCTCTGCCCACACACCCGGCCGCCCCCCGCGAGTCACCAAGGACAAGGGTCCTTCCCTCAGGTATGGATCTGGGTCCCAGGCCGGGGCAGCTGGGCCTCAGCCATGAGTTTCTGCTCCAACCCTCCTGGGCCCCTGTGCCCGTCTCTGTCCCTCTTCCTCTCACCTTGGTGACTCTGTGTGCCCCAGAACCCTGTCCCGGAACCTGGTCAAGAACGCCAAGAAGACCATCGGGCGGCAGCATGTCACTCGTAAGAAGTACAACCCCCCCAGCTGGGAGCACCGGGGCCAGCCGCCCCCCGAGGACCAGGAGGACGAGATCTCAGGTGGAAGGGTAGGGGGAGTCCTGGGTGGTCTCTGGATGCTGACACTCGCCAGGGAGGATCAGGACAGGTGAAGTGGCCTCTGGGTGATGACCCCGTGTGCCTGGCCTGCACAGTGTCGGAGGAGCTGGAGCCCAGCACGCTGACCCCGTCCTCAGCCCTGAAGCCCTCCGACCGCATGACCATGAGCAGCCTGGTGGAAAGGGCTTGCTGCCGCGACTACCAGCGCCTCGGCCTGGGCACCCTGAGCAGCAGCCTGAGCCGGGCCAAGTCTGAGCCCTTCCGCATCTCTCCGGTCAACCGCATGTACGCCATCTGCCGCAGGTGAGGGCCGGCCGGGGCTGGCCGGGGTGGTTGGCAGGTGACTGAGTGTCTTTCCTGCCTCCTGTGGGCCTGGGCCACGGCTCCTGGTCACGTAAGAAATGTGGAGGGGGAGAGGGCGGAGGGACGGGCCACAGGGCTGGGGGCGTGGGCTGGAGGGCCCCGTGGCTGAGCTGGAAGTGCCTCCTGTTGGGCGCCACGGGCTGGCTCCTCTTGCCCTGCTTGGGGCATGAGCCCAGAGTGGGTGGGGCCAGCCGCCTTCACGCCTCTGCCTCCCGACAGCTACCCAGGGCTGCTGATCGTGCCCCAGAGTGTCCAGGACAACGCCCTGCAGCGCGTGTCCCGCTGCTACCGCCAGAACCGCTTCCCCGTGGTCTGCTGGCGCAGCGGGCGGTCTAAGGCCGTACTGCTGCGCTCTGGCGGCCTGCATGGCAAAGGTGTCGTCGGCCTCTTCAAGGCCCAGAACGCACCTTCTCCAGGTACCTCCTGCGTCCTGCCCTGTGCCTGCTCTGCCCTATCCCACCCTCCCCTGCCTCAGCTCCACGTCCTACCCTAGGCCAGTCCCAGGCGGACTCGAGTAGCCTGGAGCAGGAGAAGTACCTGCAGGCCGTGGTCAGCTCCATGCCCCGCTACGCCGACGCGTCGGGACGCAACACGCTTAGCGGCTTCTCCTCAGCCCACATGGGCAGTCACGGTGAGGGTGCTTGTGGGCAGACGGTGGGGCCAGGGGCACTTTGGGGGGCTGTGGTGGCATTTATGGCTTGGCAGGCAGGCCACGGAGGGGCAGAAACGGCGTTGATCGTGGATGTTTGGGTATGGGATGAGGAGCGTGCCCTTGGGGTGCCGTGGGGCAGGGGCGGGAAGCCTGCCCAGACCAGGTGTGTGCCCTGACCTCTGTCCGCCCTGACGTCCTGCCCTCCCTGACATCCTGCCTGCTCTGACTGCCCCGCTGTCCACCTCTGTGTCTGCTGCAGCTTCCTGCAGGGGCCTCCGGGTGCTGCCTCTACGTGGCTCTCTCTTACCATTTCCCACAGCCTGGAAACATCCCAGATGCTCCTCTGTCCTGTTCCCTCCCAGTGTGCCTGTTTCTCCTCTCCCCAGCCTCCGCCCTCCCCGCATCCCCCTGTCCAGACTGTCTTTGGAGCCTCTGGCCTGGCTCTGCCTGCTGCTTGGCCTCTGTCCTCGTGTGTCCTGGTTCCTTGGGCCTTGCCCGAGCTGGCCTTGCTGTCTCTGTCCCCACCGCCTCGCACACTTTACAGGCGCCGTACACACACTGAGGTAGACTGGCCCCTGGACGGGGTGGCAGGTATGCCCCGCACTCACTGACCTGTTCTCTAGTTCAGAAGTGGTTTTGTTTTTTCAGATACCACATTACATGGTTCTGTTTTACACTCACCCTGTCTTCCTGCCTTCCCACCCCTGCCAGAAACCCTGAGTGGCGCTTGTGGGTGGGCCCGGCCCGCCCCGCCCCACCCCGCCCCTCCATCACCATGTGTGTGCCTCCCGTGGAGTCCCTTTTGCGTCTCCGACCATCCCCAGTGCCCGTGGCTGCTGCCTCCCAGTGTCCCTCTCAGTGCCCAGCGCACTCGGGCTCAGCTTCCCTCAGCTGTAGTTGTGGCTTCTAGTCCCAGCTCCGACCTCTTTATAAGGACCCACTGGGCCCTGGTTGGCATCCAAAGCGGGCTGGTGCTGCGTCCTCACTGTGAGCTGGGTGCCTGCAGTGTGGCCACTGTCAGAGGATGCAGGGTGTGTTGGGCTGGCATTGTGCTTGGCCCCTGGTGACTTGGTGGGCGAGGAGACGTTTCCTCTCTCAGTCCCACCCTCGGGCTCTACAGAAGCTGGTGAGCCTAAGGCAGGGCCAGGCGCCCAGAGACCCACTGTGGACCCCAGGCATCTCCCAGCCCTTTGGGCTGCCACTTCCTCTTGTGGCCTCCCCTGTGCCTTCAGGCCACATCGTCCAGACTGTAAGCCTCAGCCTAGGACTCAGATCTGCCTGTGTCCTGGACTGAGCTGCTCTCCATCCTTTTGGACTGGGCTCAGGCTCTGAGTCCACCCTCTCCCGTCTTTGGGAAGCCTCCAGGTCGCTCGCCTATTCTCCAGGCCACACCTCTTGGGCACCTCCTGTTGCTATGCCCTGAACAGAGGCCTCTGCATGCCCGTCTGTTGCGAGTTCTGAGCTGTGCCCATCACAAGCCCTGGTCCCCTGAGTGGAGGACAAAGGGCCAGGGTGTGGAAGAGGGACTCAGAGACAGACTTGCCCTGAGCTGATTTAAGTGGGAAGAGAGGAGGTGTTCGGGGGAGAGCCCGGGATCCCCACCACACAGCCCTTCTGCTGCCACAGAGTGCTCTGCGGACTGCCCTGCCCTGGCAGAGAGGCCGGCACCAGGATGGCTCTTCCCACTCTCCTGAGATCAGGGACTTGGGGCTGACGGCTGCTACCTCCAGGCTCCCTGGGGGCTTGGTGGGACCCTGCGGCCTGTAGGCACCCCCCAAGCTGGGCACGCCCAGGCCTGGGGCTAGGCCTGAGCCTTCTCTCTGCTGTGCCCCCAGTTCCCAGCCCCAGAGCCAGGGTCACCACGCTGTCCAACCCCATGGCGGCCTCGGCCTCCAGACGGACCGCACCCCGAGGTACCGTACCGAGCCTGCACAGGCCAGCCCTTACTCGGTGCTGGTGGCCTCTAGTGTCCTCTGAGTTATCGCGGGCACTAATGTCTCCCTCCTCGCCTGACACTAACGACCTGTCTCCCGAGCCCCAGTCCTTACCTACCTGACCCGCGAGTCCTGCCCTAGAAACTAACACTGGCTGCCACCCCACGTCTCAGCATCTGTGTGTTCCAGCCCTCCTCTCGCACGGCCCTGCCGGGGTCCTGCCAAGCACCCCTGCCCTGGGAGCTCAACCCCCTCCCTGGAGGCCAGGCCCAGCCAGCCCCAGGTAAGTGGTGCCCTGGCCCCCCTCGGGTGCTTACCTGGCGTCTTCTCCACAGGTAAGTGGGGCAGTGTCCGGACCAGTGGGCGCAGCAGTGGCCTTGGCACTGATGTGGGCTCCCGGCTGGCTGGCAGAGACACGCTGGCCCCACCCCAGGCCAACGGGGGCCCTCCCGACCCGGGCTTCCTGCGACCGCAGCGAGCAGCCCTCTACATCCTCGGGGACAAAGCCCAGCTTAAGGTGATTGGGCTGGGGGGTGGGGGTGGGGCTGGGCAGGGGGCTTGGGGCCTCACGTGTCTCACGGTGCTCGGCCGGGTTCTTTTCAGGGTGTGCGGCCAGACCCCCTGCAGCAGTGGGAGCTGGTGCCCATTGAGGTATTTGAGGCACGGCAGGTGAAGGCCAGCTTCAAGAAGCTGCTGAAGGCGTGTGTCCCAGGCTGCCCTGCTGCTGAGCCCAGCCCAGCCTCCTTCCTGCGCTCACTGGAGGACTCGGAGTGGCTGATCCAGGTCTCCGCACTGCCCCGTCCCTCTGCCCACCTTGGTGCTGGGCCTACCCCTTGGCTAGAGCCAAGTGGATGGGTCTAGGTTTGCTTGTCTGAGAGTGTGGAGCGCTGGAAGGAGGAGGTGAAGGCCACTTCCCACTCCGGCTCTGGGGCTGGAAGGCAGCTGGCAGTGAGAGTGGCCAGGGCCTGGCCATGGGTGTGTCGGAGCAGCTTGCTGGGCCCAGGTGGGCCGGTGACCACACGGGGGATGCGGTTTATGGTTCTGGGCCTCTGCTGCATTCTTGTGGGGGTGGGTACTGACAGGACGCTGGCTCGGTGAACACTGAAGATGAGGCCCCCGGGCATCTTGAGGGACAGGGACGTCCCTCAGTCCTAGAGAGCTTGGAAGGGGGTGGGCTGTGGCTAGCAGGCTGGAGGTGGCGGTGGTTGGCGTCCCCAGAGCAAGCTGTGTCGGTCCAGTACTGTGCCCACATACAGGGCTCAGAGGGCTGTGGACAGGGCCTGCCTCCCCGGTGCCTGTGGACATGCAGGTCTCTAGCCTGATGAGTGGTGAGGCGGGAGGGCGGGGGGTCCCAGAGGTGCTGAGGCTGCCTGTCCCTGCAGATCCACAAGCTGCTGCAGGTGTCTGTGCTGGTGGTGGAGCTCCTGGATTCAGGCTCCTCTGTGCTGGTGGGCCTGGAGGACGGCTGGGACATCACCACCCAGGTGTGTGGCGCATGGGGCTGGGGTGGGCCAGGCTCCCGGGCTCCTCACTGACCCTCCGGCGGTGCTGGCAGGTGGTATCTTTGGTGCAGCTGCTCTCAGACCCCTTCTACCGCACGCTGGAGGGCTTCCGCCTGCTGCTGGAGAAGGAGTGGCTGTCCTTCGGTCACCGCTTCAGCCACCGTGGGGCCCACACCCTGGCTGGGCAGAGCAGCGGCTTCACACCCATCTTCCTGCAGTTCCTGGACTGCGTACATCAGGTGGGCAGGTTGCTGTGTGGGTGGGCTGGGGCTGTGCACCCTGACTGCTGACCCCTGGCCCCTGACCCACATGGCGTGCAGGTCCACCTGCAGTTCCCCATGGAGTTTGAGTTCAGCCAGTTCTACCTCAAGTTCCTCGGCTACCACCACGTGTCCCGCCGTTTCCGGACCTTCCTGCTCGACTCTGACTATGAGCGCATTGAGCTGGGTATGTAGGGAGTCGGGGCTGGGACAGCCACGGGTCAGGAGGGGCCCAGGCTCACTGCTGGCCCTGTGCAGGGCTGCTGTACGAGGAGAAAGGGGAACGCAGGGGCCAGCTGCCGTGCAGATCTGTGTGGGAGTACGTGGACCGACTGAGCAAGAGGACGCCTGTGTTCTACAATTACATGTATGCACCCGAGGACACGGAGGTAAGCTGGGGCCTGGGTCGGGTAGGCAGCTCCTGCCTGACCCAGGTCCTCAACTGCAGGCCCACCCCCAGGTCCTGCGGCCCTACAGCAACGTGTCCAACCTGAAGGTGTGGGACTTCTACACTGAGGAGACGCTGGCCGAGGGCCCTCCCTATGATTGGGAACTGGCCCAGGGGCCCCCCGAGCCCCCAGAGGAAGAACGGTCTGACGGAGGCGCTCCCCAGAGCCGGCGCCGTGTGGTGTGGCCCTGCTACGACAGCTGCCCGCGGGCCCAGCCTGACGCCATCTCACGCCTGCTGGAGGTGCGTGTGGTCCTGGAGCAGGGTCTGGCCTGGCACCGCCTCCTCTTGCTCAGACTCCAGGGTTGTGCTTGTGTGTGCACTTGTACACGCACGTAAGTCCGGTTACCCCTGGGGGTGGCTGTGGCTCCCCAGGGCCCCGCCCCACTCAGTGGATGCTTCCAGACAGTGACCTGAGACCCCCAGGTCTCAGTACACAGCCTCCACTCTGGGCCCGCGTGTTTTCCCTGACCTGGCTTTGAGCAGCTCAGGCAACTCTTGAGGAGTCAGCCCTTAGAGATGCCGGTGTTTACTCCCTCTGCCAGACTGCCTGCCCCACCTACCCTGAAGTGAGCAGCTCTGGGTTCTTGCCCTGAAAGCTTGGGGTTGACATTTAGGCCTCTCTTACCCCTCACTGTGCCATCCCTGGTGGGCCTGGACTGAACAAGGCAGAGACGCCTGGGAGGGAGAAAGGAGACTGAGGGGTGGCGGCTAGGTTGGTGTGTAGGACTTCAGAGCTAGGCCATGGGGGGACCTGTACTCAGCTCCCCACTGTTGGCTGCGTGGCCTTAGAGGTTATCTGAGCATCTTAGAGCTTCTGTTTCCTCGTGCAGAAAGTGGAAATGCTGATTCCTGCCTTACAGGGAAGTGGTGAGGCTGAAATGAGTCATTTATTTCAGTGACTTAGCATGGGGCACCGGGTTTGGGGGAGCACGGGAGTCATGGTTTGCGACGGAGGTGATCCACACAGACAGCGGTCCCTTTTTCTCTCAAGCGAAGCTCATTGTCTTAAAGTTGGCGCGGTCCGATTGGTGCTGACGAGTCACTCAGCTTTGTGGTGACCATCAGCTTGCTCTGTGATTTTCTATACTTGTGTTTTCTACTGGTCTGTGTGTTTATGTTTAAGGTGAGTTTCTTGGACACAGAATGTAGATGTAGTTGGGTCTTCCTGTTACCCAGTCTAATGTTTTTTTTTAATTGGAATTTTTAGCCCATTTTAATTTACCGTTACTATTGATGTGGCTGGCTTTAAGTCTGGCGTCTCGCTGTTTGTTTTCTCCTTGTCCCTTTGATTTTTTTTCCTTTCTTGCTTTTCTTTTTTTAAAAAATATGTTTTTAGAATTCTGTCTACTGTGAGTTGAGCTGTATCTCTCTGTGTTATGTTTCAGGAGTTGCCAGGGCTATAATCATCTGACTTGAAATTACATTACCCCGTTCGTTCACACCAGAAGAGCCTTACAGCGGTGTATGTCCATTCACGCCTTTCCTGTCCTCCTGTCACTGTCACACATTTTACTTTTACATATGACATAAACACCCAGCGTGGTGGTTTTTTTTTTTTTT